GCCCATCGGCAACAAAAAAGGACTTCTGGTAGAACACTGCAGGGAGTGGTGAAGAGTGCATTTTTGCAAGAACGCCAAGCTTAAAATGTCGCGGGTGGGTCACGTGCAGCTCAGTACATCGACGGCGAAGCAGGACTTCCACTTGAAGAAGAAGAAGGTTCTCCTGTGTATCTCGCAGTGGAACTTGATGAAAATTGGATTTCACATGGTGACTGCAGAACGCTGCAGTTGATGATTGCACAAGCTGAAAGATGGTCGTGAACAGAGAAGGCCATTTTCAGGGCAAGGCAGCAGTCAAGTCATACTGCTGCTGCTGCTACTGCTGCTGCTGATGATGATAATGATGATGATGATGATGATGCTTGACAACGTTCTGCCTCGCGTCGCTCGTTCGGTTCAAAAGGCCTTCTTGAACGTTGGATAAAAAGTCCTTCCACACACGACATATCCACCAGATTCAGCCCCATCCGACCACCATTTGTTCCGGTCAATGCAGAAGCAGCAGCAGCAGCAGCATCAGCACGTCTTACTGGACAAGCAGTACAAAACGCTGGACGATGCGGATCAAATTGTCGACGATATTATTCTCCTTGAAGCCTGCAAGCTTCTTTCGCAACGGATTTCGTAATTTGCCTAAGCAATGGCACATGTTTATTGAAAACGATATGTAATATTTCCAAGATTAAGTGCATGTGCTCCTCAATATATTTTAATAAATAATTTTGCTAAAATATCTGTCATACGCATTCTATTCATCTAACAATTTTACTTTAAAAACATGAGAATCGGCTTCTGATCAAAATAATCAAAAAACTAATAAAAGAATTGATGTCGAACGAGATGTATGCAAAACACAGCAAGTGAGGTAACGTGCGCATCTCAACCAGTGTTCTTGAAGTGAGTCAAAATTTGGTCGTGAGCATAACATTAATGGCTTGTTTCTTGCAGTTCGCTGCACATTTTTCACCCAACCTCGTCCAACATTGATTGGTGCTGTGTATTAATTAGCCGTCGGTCATGGCTTACAGATCAGCAATGCATTTAATGCATAGGCTTGAATTACACTGTAAATTTCGATTAGTTAAGCAACTATTAGCTGATGAACTGGTTAGATAATTCAACTTTCGGCTCTATTGGCGCAGATGCTTGTCCCTTTAATCTGCAATGCCAGTCGCTTTTGCGTCAGATAATGCAGGAGACTAAATTTGGCATCGGAATTAGTGGATTCTTTTTTGGCATTAATGCGGCCTTGCTCTTGTACCCCGGCTTTGAACGGCAATGCAAATTGCGTTAATTGGAGCGCTGTGCGTGTGTGCGTGTGTGCGCGCCACGTGACTGTGCTCGAAGACGGGCCACAGGCTGGCTGGAAGGCAGAATCAGGAGGGTTACCGTGAGTGGCGTTGGTGCGTGCGCATGGAGCACTCCGTGAGCATAGCAACAGAGCAGCTGATACTCAAATCTGCGTTGCCATGACTGCAATCGGACGGCAGCAGCCGTAAAGCCCACTGCCTTGTACCAAAATCTCCGCACCAGCACTAGCCATGGGAAACCTCCTCTCTTGGTGCCTTTGCTGCTTCTCCCAGGAATACGCTGAACAGCAGCGTCTGAGCAAGCAAATTGACAGGCAACTTCAGCGCGACAAACGAAATCAACGCAAGGAAGTCAAACTGCTTCTACTTGGTGAGTCGGCCGGTAGTTCCTTAATTGATGCATCGGTAAAATGCTTTCCTACTGCTGACAATGCAACCTCCAGATCCTACATGTAGGGTCTCCGAGTGAAGTGCTGGTAACTTTCCTAAATGCAAAATCTGCACTCACTAGTCCGCTTGATATTTACCTTAATGTGATTTTGACGATGTAGGGTGCTTTGTGGAACATTCGATTTGGTAATATTAAAAATCAATATTCTATTATATTGGTTACCAGAGCGTGCCAATCACAGCCATCAACTGATCGTTTTACGTTGATAATTTCTTTGAAGCTATTTTCGTCTTTAACTGACTAATCTACCCGTAAGATGAGCAACCATTTTTTTTAAATTTGCATTTTGTGTGCATTTATGAGTTTGGTATAGTCAGATCAACGAGGTTGAAGAGGCAAACACAGACGTTAATTTATTCAGGCACCTTTAATTAATGAAGAGAGGGGTCTGCATCATTTGCAATTACCAAAACGTGCAAAAAGAAACATTTGATGCTTTTACCTCGTGGCGAAAGTCAAGGCACTTGAGATTTTGTGGAACAGAAAATATGCACTTGTTGGGAGGTTTAATTGATATTGATTGGTTAAACATGTGTCGAAATTGACCAACCAAAAAACAGACGGGTATTCTTTGATGAACTCGAAATGAAAAAGTGTACATTAACACTTGATGTGCATCAAATGAGCTTAAAGGTGATGACAAATGGAGTAAGTCCCCAGCATGCCGCTTATTGTAAGCAAATTTGGAGATGAATTAGAGAAAATCGTAGACTTTGGCGCTAGTTTCGTACACTCGTTATTCTGATATTTAAGAGTGTCATGAGGTACCAAGCGTACCCCTAGGGACGTTGTTTTGGCCGTTTGTTCGAATAAATGGCGACATTCAATCCTCTTCAGCGAGACTGGCTCACTGGGGCAGTCTCAGGAAACACATCTTACGAATGAGCGGTAAATATGGCAATCTTGGCACACAGTGATTGTTGAGGTTTGTGTAGACAATTGATGTCTGTGTTAAGGTGGTTACGGTGCTTAAATCTCACCATCATGTTATGTTGGTACATTAATATCTCTATTTATGTAAAAACAGCAGCTACCGCAGCCTTCTTGAATAGTAATTTGTCACACAGATAAAATAAACTACCACAGGGATTAAATCTATTAATTTGAGTAAAATAATTGATTCATTGGATACAAATTTTAGTTGTTTTCTGAATACAAATCACAAGCTTCTAAAACAGTTATGAATGTTTGTGCAAAGACCAAAATAACATCTACACATCGTAGATGACAAAAATAGAGTTGGAAAGACGATCAATTTTTGTGTCAGCCCTTTCCTTTCTCTTAGACCTTTGAACGCTCTATCGTGGGCTTTCCTTTTTTTAATTGTAGAGAAACTAAATTGACTTTCTTCTAGAAAAATATCCTTAACATCTGAACAACTGTAATTAACAGGCATCCACAATAAAATCACAAAAATGAACATAAATTTCCTAGGATAGAATCGAAGGATATAGACTAGACATAATATCGCAACTAGAATATTTAAGATACAATTCACGCATTGGCTTACAAATGTTAACAGAACTGGCCTTAATCTACTAGAAAACGGTAAATGACAAAAAATTATTAGTAAACCTTAACTCCGAAGAGAAGAGGCTTGTCAAACAGTTTAGCCTCCAAAAACAAACATATGACAGAATCATAGTCATATTTATTATATTGCCATTGAATAAATCATAGTTTTTGCAGATTATAAGTTATAGTTGCCATATTATAAGTATCCTTTAAGAAAGAAAGTCTGCGTTGTTGTAAATCACTTCAATATTTCTCATTAGGAAATATGTCAGCAAGAACTCAACCTCAATATTGCTTGAGATTTTATCGTACTTACATGTCTGATCACCTACAGTGAACCATCCTTTGAGTCAGTAAAATGTAATTTTCAAAGGCTGGAGAGAAAAACGAATGCAGCAATGATTTCGTAATACAATTTTATTTTTTTAACACTGTACGCAATAAACTTTACTTCTAAATTCATGGCGTTTCGCATTCCAAGTATATGTAAAAATTGGTAATCATTTTTCATTTCATGCAATTTAGGTGTGTTTAAATTATTTACATGTAAACAAATCCACTAGAATATGCCGTTTAAGTGGTGACTAAGAGGAATATGTAATAACATGAAAAGCAACACCAATGTGGCAAATAAAATAAATTTTCTGTACGCAATTAACGAAACTTGCTTAAGTGTGCACTCAATATTAAATTGACTAATGGCAAGATTAATCTTCTAAATAATGGGAAAGCCAAGTCGAATAACGTCAAATTCCCGTTATTTTGCGTTATTGGAAATTATTATTGCTTAAATCTTTGCTAGCAAGCAGCCCTTATACAATTTGGGACGCGTATTATTAAAGATTTGATTTGCGCAAATGTTTATGAGATTTGATTTGTAATGAAAATCAGCGATACCAAAATTATAGACTTATGATAATTCTTAATTTAAATAATATTTTTTGTAAAAGGAACAGGTTTATATGCTTTTAAATTCTTAATTGTGATAAAGTCCTTTTAATGCACAAATGTGGTTGTCCCGCGGTGTTTGAAAGTTTTTGTGGTCATGAGTTTTTCTGGGATTGTAGCAATTTAGTTGGAAAATCAGCAATTTTCTGTATATTTCATACATTACACTGTCAAATTTTCATCTGGAAAGTAGTTTTGTAATCAAAGCTATCTAAATGTCCTGCTGTCGGAGTGAAGAGTATAAGGAGCAAAACAGGATTAATAAAGAAATCGAGAAGCAATTAAAGCGCGACAAAAAAGATGCCAGAAGGGAACTTAAGCTTCTCTTGCTTGGTATGTTGTCTGTTAAAGTGGCATTTTCTTAATTTGCTGTCAGTTTCACCTTATTTGCACATTTTGTGATAAGTACGCTGCTGTGCCATTGATTTTGATCATTATTTTTATATAATGTGCAGCAAGCTTTGCGCTTATTGTTAAAAATGATTCTAGAGGTGTCTAACTGTGTTAAGGCCGTCATTTTTAGCTTCGATTCCTAGTTTGTAGCTTCATTCTGATTGCTTCTTTTCAATTAATCATTTCGCCTTAAGCCTGCACAACACACGAATGCGTCTCTGCAATCATTGCTGATTTATCGCACATTCCCTCATGCTTCATTTTCATTGGGGTCTTAGTTAATATCAACGGCTTTTTACTGCTTCAATTTAGTAATTTGTGACAAAATCCTGTACTGTAGCCTTTTTGCTAGCCGGATAATTTGAGGGATTTGTCGCGGAATAGAAATTGGTTTGTGCAATTCTAACAAGTCTTCAACATCAGTTCTTTCCCTACGTCTCTTACCTCTCCCTACTTTGTTCTGTGTGCCTCTGTTCTGAATTACTTCATCTATAATCATAAGGACTCACAATTCTTTACCTATGTCCTTGTGTCTGCTTTTTAATGGTTACAGTGTGTCAGTGGTCATAGTCTTCGCGCTGTGTTCGTCCCTAAGTTCATATTAGGTCACCAGGTTTGACAATTCAAGCTTTTTAGATACTTTGTGTCGTGTTTGTGACGATTCTACACCTGCTTCATGTACACGAGTGGATAGTTGTTTACGCATTTCTTTGTGTTGAAACGCCAATGAAAGCGATTAATGCTTAATCCGTACATGTTCTCACCTATGTCTGTAAGTGTGGGACTCGCGCTTTCACTGTTGGCCTGAATTTTCCTGACGCACCCAAATACAGCACTTTTAAAAAGTACGCTTTTTGTATGTCAAATAAAAGCCCATAGGCCATCTATTGACTTCGGCGTCCTCATTGCTTTGCTGCTCTTTTTTTCTTGTTGGTGTGAACACAGTTTTGCGCAATCACACACATGTGTGTCAACCTCCTATTTTGTTTTTGCTACTTTCCTTACGTGGGCTTGTTTCTCAAACTTCACCGTGATAACTCGGTCTAATGCTACTTTATCCAGCACTCACTTTTTGGATCTGTGTACGTACCTTGTGTTACAAATTCATTGGCCAACCCAGACGTCGCTTTTCCTCCTCTGTGTTAGTATTCTTGATACTCTACAGCCGCCATCCTGAGTTACATACTTCCGCACGCTAGTTGTGAACGTGTGAACTGTTGTTTTCTTTTTGCTTCCAGGCACTGGTGAATCGGGAAAGAGCACTTTCATCAAGCAGATGCGCATCATCCATGGTTCAGGCTACTCAGATGAGGAGAGGCGAAGTCTAATCAAACTTGTCTACCAGAACATCTACCTTGCCATGTACACGCTTATTCGCGCCATGGAAACCCTCAAAATACCTTACGAGAACCCCGTTAATCGAGTAAGTGCCCCCGTCACCTTATGCTGCCTTTTTGTGTGGAATTTAAAGGTAGCTCACTTCATACTCTTTCTGGCCAGCTAGGCGTCCATCATGTAAATGAAGTCCTGGGTAGCTGATTTTCTGTGGTTCGTAGCCGTAACTGGCGTGTGTGTGTGTGTGTGTGTGTGTGGAGCCGTTTATCATTTACATTGTGTATTTGCATACACGACTTATCTCCCTAACTGAATTTAACCGGCTCACATACGAGGAGCTTTTCAGGACACCAGAAATGTTTTTTTTCGTGTGCTGCGTGCATAGTGCGATTATTATTCAAAACTGGCCCCAGTGCGGTCAAGCGCATCCGACCGCTGATTGGACAAAACGCCTATCGTGATGGTTACCAACCTCCGGCTCACTGAACCTTTCGACGAATATGTCCGTTTTCTACCTCATCGAATTCGATGCTCGTGTGTTTAGAATCAGGTGTGAAACCATCCTACAATTGGTGCTTGATTGCACCTCTGTGGGAAAAAATCGTTATGGAGTCAACCAACACCAGATTCTTCGACCAATTGTGTCTCCCCCAGCAAGGTCAACCGCCTTTTTGATTTTGTGATTGGCCAGGGATTGGTCACTGGTTTAGTTTTCGCTGGCACACTGCGGGGCCGTCGGAGTAGGGAAGGGAGGAATGGTCGCGGTGTTACGAGGCATAACACCGACACTGGCCTGCGTGTTTACGCTTCTAGTGTGTGCGTGTGCGTGTATTAATTTGCATACATTAATAGCTGCCTCGTGTCAGCCGATTTCACAAAACCCTGTACTTTTAACGCGTCACTGCTGTTCACTCGTTTCTGCTTGGGGTTTTTTTAGAGCTTGCCTTGTCCAAATGTATAACTTCGTCCAAACCTGGCGTTTGTGAAACAACAAGTTTTTTTGGCAATCGTGATAGTGCCCATTTGCCGTCTGTTTCACACTCGTGCGTCGTGCTGTCAGGTGTTTAACCGACCACGACCCGTATGGTGATTATTTCCGATATGGGTGCATAAGTACCATACTCCGTTTGTTTTCTGTTTGGATTACTTGTGATTTACCATTTCGAATGTGCAGACACTGTTTCCCCGGAGTGGTTATTGATTGTGCGCACTTGCGCCTGCGGAGTTATCAGCGTAACCTTGGTTTTCCTAGATGTGGACTCCTGGCAGCTTTCAATTGCTATTTGTTGTCCCCTCTTGTACGTAGGAACACGCGGAGCAGGCGCGAGAAATCGATTACGAGACTGTGACCACTCTCGACCCCTCCCACGTGGTTGCCATCAAATCGCTGTGGAGCGACCCCGGCATAAAGGAGTGCTACGACCGTCGCAGGGAGTACCAGCTCGCCGATTCAGCCAAATAGTGAGTCACCTGCCTGCCGCCGCTTTGCCACCTCCCAATCCCATGTTTCACCAAACCAGCGTCTTACAACCGTATTGCCTAGTTGGTAGTTTTTAAATCAATAAGTTCCCACATCAGCTGTTGGCAGGCGATTGGTGGAGTTCCAGATCCTGACACTCCACTCGCCTAATTGGTTCGTGATGAAGCCCCCGCCCCCCAGCTACTACTCGCATAACACCTCGGCCACCGGAAACTCAGTTTCACGAGCACTTGTTTCATGAGTCGGCCACTGTTGAGGGCCCATTTGGCGTCCTTAGGCGGCGGCCTGTGTTGCATACCTTAGGGGCGTGTGTGCGTGCGTGCGTGCACGCACGCCACCCTTACGCGCGGCCTTTAGCCAAGACCGTAGTTGCCCCTCGTTGGCACTTACAGGTTTATTTGTGCTTGCAGTTTTATGGGAGAGGCTGGCCTTCTTCCCCTCGCTAAGGGCACGTCGACTTGGCGCTGCATTCAGAGCCTGTTAGTTGATATGTCTAGGGTGCCTATGCGAAGGAACGCATGTCGCTATTGCGCTTTCTTTTGGATTAACTTCTGCGTTGACATTTTTATCTTCCGTGGCACGACATGTGACTAACTTCAGTCAGCTGTGTCTCTGTTCTCACGTTGATTTTCACCGCACTCTCTGTGTTTAAGTTAAATCGGACGTGTGTAACTGTGCAAGTCTGTGAAATTTAGTGGTTACCGCTTTAAAAAATGGGCACGTTGCTGGTCCAGAGCGGTTTATTGAAGATAAGCTAAACGTGCTGCCACCGTCTGAGCTTTTTCTTACAACAGGCCTAAGTCTGTGGTCGGCCGAGGTGTTCTTGCCCTACCCTGGTCACTGTATCACTGATTGTTCTGGCGGTTTTCCACTGTAGCTACCTGGATAATATCGATCGCATCTCTGCGGGCGACTACCTCCCCACCCTGCAGGACATCCTTCGTCTTCGTGTTCCCACCACCGGTATCATCGAGTATCCCTTCGATCTCGATTCCATCATTTTCCGGTACGTTCGGACCACTTCCCACTTCCACCGCCTACTTCGATCATGACCACTTTACGTAATCGATAAGCGTGGCTTGTTTTGCAGCGTGAACTGCCTCCGCGGCGTATTTTTATCGTTTTGTCTTCAAATAGCTCCTCCGCTAGTACCTGATGCCGACTTGCGTGTTGGCTGGCATGTGCACATGGGTGGTATCTGTGTCCTTGCTCTTAATTGGTTTATTGAGGCCTACTGACAAAACCGGCCTTGCCATTGGCTAGCCAAAAAAGCATTCACAAGCAACATGTGATTACGGTAGTAGCCTAAACTTAATCCTTTAATCGTGTACTTTAACCATCTGCGCATGCCCTAAGCCGCTCGATTACATGATTTTAAGTCCTGGTTGTGTAGATTTTGAAGAAAGCGTGGCTGTCTGAGTCTCGCGTAGTCGTTTGAAATGGCCTTTCTGCGAAAACAACATCACAACGCGGCTGTTGGCAAGCCAGTTGTGCTTCTATGTGCCAGTTTGCCTTAGTTGTTTCGCTTATGCCAAGTGTCTTAACGCTTCCCCCTGTAGAATGGTCGACGTGGGGGGCCAACGTTCTGAACGCCGAAAGTGGATCCACTGCTTCGAAAGCGTCACGTCAATCATGTTCCTCGTCGCTCTCTCTGAATACGATCAGGTGCTCGTGGAATCGGACAACGAGGTAGGCCGAACGCTGACCCCATTACTTGAGTTCTGATTGGTTAATGTGCGCCGGCTTCTCTTGCTCAGTTTGTCTTGGTGTCGTTCGTAGAATCGGATGGAGGAGAGCAAGGCCCTGTTTCGAACCATCATCACCTACCCCTGGTTCCAGGAGTCCTCTGTCATTCTCTTCCTCAACAAGAAAGACCTCCTCGAGGAAAAGATTCTCTACTCCCACCTAGTCGACTACTTCCCTGAATACGATGGTGAGTGGGTGCAGTAGCGCACGCTGTCGTGAATGCGCCGCATGCTTTTCCAGTAGGATTCCTGCCTCTCCTTGCCTAGCACCGTCACAACTCAGTATTACAGCCACCATGTCCCCATTTTGCCCTAATTTTGGGCGTAATTTGCTCATTTCCCACCGGTATTAGATTAACTACAGTCGCGGTTGACCTCGCCGGTCAACGTGTTCCTGTTTTTGTGAAAAAATCTTATTGTGGACCTTGTTTCACACCACCAGAAGCGTGGCTTTTGTCTTTGGAACTCCCTCGTTGCTCGTTCTGGGGTGTTGTGTACTCGCGATTTATCAATATATTAAGTTTTCCAAAACCAAGTTCTTACTTACGAAGTTTAATGCCTAAAGTACCCCATGGCCGCTTTAGCGTATTCCCCGTTGTCTAACACGACGCCGTTTCTAACGCCGTCTGGCCCTCCTTAGCTGTTTCATCTTTTTGCTTTGCAAAATGAGGTTTGGTGCCAACAGCATCAGACCCCAGTGTCCGTAATATCCGCTTTCCGTTGTCGGACATTCCTGACACCGAAAATGAAGCTTGTTCACAAGACTTCAATGCTATTTTTTGTTCACCTTCGGCGAGTTTGCATTAATTCCAATACTGTGGTTGGTTAATTTTGGCCTGAAACTCTAAAATCGCTGTCCCGTTGACCAGCGTTGAAATTTCTGTCATCACCGCTTTCAAATGTAGAGACGAATCACGTCAAGTCTTAGCATTCACGACCATCCTTTCTCACCTGCCGTGCAGTCGAATGTAGAATGGAGTCAAATCTGTGCCGTGTCGTGCTCGATCCGTCAGAAGATCCGCGTCTAACCGCGTGGTAGATGGCATTCATGGAACGCGGGCCTCCGTTTTCGTAGGCCTTTTAGTAGATCCACCACCATTCTCAATGAAGTAGCTTATTTTTTATCATATTCCGGCGCACAGGCATCGTCACTGTGTCTGCAAGTTTTAAATTTGCCGTTAGAAAGGGCTCAGTTCTTGGCACCAGAACTAGTTCTCTTCCAGGCTGTTTGGACTTATGAAGACGTACTCTGGTGAGTTCGCAGGTTACTTGGAGTACTCCCGCTTGTCTACTGTTGCCCTTTAATCCGATGCGGTTCGGGCAAATCGCGACACGCGTCATTGATTGGTTGGTTCTGGCACAATGTCATCGATTCGCGCCCTAGCTCACGTCTGCAAACTCGTTCTATGTCTCATGTCTTGGTTGTTGTAGGTCCCCAACGAGACGCCAAGGCCGCACGCGAGTTCATCTTGAAGATGTTCGTCGAGCTGAACCCCGACCCCGAGAAGGTCATCTACTCGCACATCACCTGCGCCACAGACACGGAGAACATTCGTTTCGTGTTCGCAGCTGTGAAAGACACCATCCTGCAGTTGAACCTGAAGGAGTACAATCTGGTGTAGAGAGAGCTCGTGTCTCCCACGCCCCTCTCCCGCGCCTTTCTCCAGACACACGGGGCTCTCTCAGCCCCCTCCGTCTCCCTGTACAATCAATGTGCGCGTGTGCTATCCGATGGACCCTGTCCCCACTCCTCCTCCTCCTCCCCCCCGCCACCCCCACGACAACTTGTCGCTCCCGCTTCGTACACCACTCGAATTGGCACCACTCTCAACGGTGTATTTATACATAAAAGAACCAGGCACCCGTCGATCCCTCTTGTTCTTCTACACTCACACCACCCCGCCACCCCCTCCCAAGTTGTTTCCCTTCTTCTTTCTCTACTTTTTTTTCGTTTGATGACTTCTTTATCACTCCCAACACACAAGCCCCTCCCCCACCCGCCCTCTCTCTCTCTCTGTTTACTTTCCTTTTAATTTTGAAGCTGCTGACGTTCACCGCTACTGCGTAGTGATGGTAAAGTTGGTGAACTCCGTTGAGGTGTAATTCTCCTCCTCCCTCCTCCTCTTCCTCCCCCTTGCGTGCGTGCGTGTTTGTGTGTGCGCCCGCTGTTGCGTGCGCCAAGTTGTGCTGACGACCGCAAACGCTTGCACACACGCACACACATTCACAACTAGCGAGCGAGAGAGAGACCCAGGTAGGAGTGTGAACGCACGTGAAACGAAAGTCAGTAATAAATTTGCTACTGTGAGTCAATATTGGTGGAGGTGGTGTTGCTTACGCGCTTCATGTGGTCCTCGTGTCTCCATCGGGTGCCTTCTCTAGTTGGTTGGTGCCATGTCTCCTAGCAGAACCCGCGTGTAAAGGGCTGAGCCCGTCAGAAGTGCCTACTGGGTGCATCGCGTCCCATCCCCTCACACCATCCACTCATTCCTAAAGGCGGCTTTCGTGTGCTGGAGCGTGTTGTGTGCCCCCTTCAACACACAAAAGCGCCTCCGTCGCTCGTGGTTATTAATCATGCCTACCATGACAGCCGAAGCGGCGGTAATTTGGCCACGCTCATGTCTGAAAGTAGGTCTGTGTTGCCGTGGCAACCAAATCTGGAGTGTAGTTTGCCGGTAATCGTGCCTCGGCATCTACTTGCTACTGCGCCCTGGAGGCTAGAATATCAGTTTATCGGACTTTTTTCAGTACCTGGTTGCCATAGTGATTGTGTCAACCCGTCGAGCCGACAAAGATTGTTCATCTGAAAGCTAGGGTGGTCTCGTTTCAAGCCAGTCGATCGTGCATAGCTTTAACAGTAGTGCCTGTTAGCGTGTTGAAACTGCTTTAGGCCCTTCAAGTCCACCGACAATTTTCATCTGCACGCATGTTCAAGGAGTGCAAGGGAAACGCGTCGCTACCAACACACGAAGACGTCGTGTTGGCCTCTGTCCACAGCGCGGTTGTCTGCTTGCGTCGCGGCAGAAGCTGTGAAACAGCGGTGGCGGCGGCGGCAGCAGCAACATACGACATCGCGCAGGCGTGTTATCACGCGCACCCGCACGCTTTTTATCGATCGCCACTTGGCCGGCCAGCAGTTAAGCTGCCGTTGCTGTTGACGTGTGCGCGCGCGCGCGTGCGTACGCACGCCTTGCAGGTGCGGCGACGCCTGCCTTTCATTCTAGGATGTGCGCACGTGCGACCCAGTCGACGTGCGTGGCGTGCTATGTTGGCCCGGGAAATCTCCCCGTTGCAGCTGCATGTGTGTGTGCCTATGTGTCAATTGGGGAAAAAAAGTGGACTGTGCCTAGAAGATGTGCTGTGAATGAAAACGTGGAGGTGCAGACAATCGAGTTATTTGATTGGTCGCGAAAATCCACCATTCTACGAAGCACCTATCAACCGTTGACGTCAATTTTAACTAGCATTTGGCCAAGGAATGCTCGTTTGCGATAAACGTCATTGTCTGTAGACGAAGCAAACCTCGCCTCGTTTGAAGTGCCTTTGTAAAATCAGCAGCTCTTCTTCCATTCTAAAATGGCTGCCTGAAGTGTTTTTTGTCGTGAGTTTGCGTCCATGGACTTCGTCGTTAGCGAAACGGTTTTTTTGCAATGACGGTGCAGTTTGAGAAGAGCTAAAAAGATTCGCTCTATGCATAATGTTTCCATAACAACGTCCGTTTTGTTTAAATAAGCTGTCATGTCTGGATTTCTCTACAAAATTTGCAAGATTCTGAACTAGAGCCTCGAAAATAGCGAAAATTACGCTCGTAGGTAACCCGACTCAATCCCTCTGCATCTGCACTTGCATTCGGAAGATGGAATGTACAATATACTGATATTAGTATTCAAACGATGCGAAATTTACAAAAAGCCGCCTTCTCCATTCCAGGGGTTTGTATCGCTTAGGCAATGTAAAAGTTTTGCCATTGGTTTCAAGACTGAAAAATGCATTTGAACTTTAGGCTGAGTCTCGTGAACAGAACGCATTCTCAGTAATTTCGTCACATGTCAACGTTCGCTAGATATCCCATCACTCAAAGCACACACTTTGAATTTGTCAGGCGTAAAGATAATCTATCTACCGGCGCATAAGTTAAACAAGGACGGTTTAAAATCTGTGTAGTCAACAGGTAAGTGTGATTTTGTTCGGCGTTGGCTAATGTCACGCTCGTTGCCTGTCCACTGTCAATGAGTAATACAGCCAATCTACTAACATTAACGAGTAGAGTATATTTTAAATTAAACTTCTGTGGACACAGATTAGTGAGCATCTGTTTGCACGCTCAAAAATTACAAAAAGGTACGCTAGAAGTAAGCTCATGCCAGCGTATATTAAAACTTGCAACTTTGTAGATGACTAATGCTGCTGAAGCCTTTTCCACCGGCCAAGTTCTTTCGTGCAGTTGATTTTATTTAACCACAAGGTATTTACTGACTTGATTAAACACAACTCGACTTCAATGTGCACATTGGATATTTCAGGCACTTTAGACTAAACAAACGCATGCTGTTTCATTCAATAATTAAGTGAAAAATTCAGCCTAAGTAAAAGCCACAAGCAGATAATAGAATTTTGTAGTAAGGGTTTAATTGACCATTTCTATGAATTTGTTATGTGTATTAGTAACTTATAGTAGATTATCCTAATAAAACGTTTTTGATTTACGCAAAAATTGTACACGAATTAAGTTAGCAAACCTGCATATCAAGTTTGACATAAACAGTAATAAATGTTGAAGCATAACTAAATTAGGGGTGACAATAACGGGACTATAAGTTAATTATGAATGCACGAAAGCTCGCAATTTTTGAAAAATACCTCACTTTCTGCATTTATGCATATAAGTGAAAAGTATCTAAAGAGTAGCATCAGCAGTCAAACCCGTAATATACTGAAACTTTCTGCTTAATGGTGTTTGTTTGTTCTTAGTAAAACGACTGCCGTACTTTGTAGTGACATAATCAGCAAGGCACAATTAGATTAAAACTTTGGATTAAAATAGCTTTGCCCACTGTAATTTTATTATGTTGGCATCATTCATTAAAACAACTCGAATTCTACATGCCAACTTTTTTCTTTCCATTTCGCAGTCGACTGAGTTTCTCAGGTGGCAGCGCATTATCTTGAGAGTGTATATTTTGCTGTAATTGCATCATTACCAAAATAAGGAGGTCGGATGTTAGTACTGACCACACATAAATGCATCCATAGCTCAGATTTTCCGTATTTTACTGGAGTCAGCTAGGTAATACAACTGCCATCCCCGTAAATAACAATGATATAAAGGATAATAAATGATTTTTTATAAAAAAAAATTTGCATGCTCAAGACTGCGTTTCAGCCCTTACGTGTTCGTTTTGACGGCCTAAGCGATAGATTTAAGAAGTAAATTTGTTGGTTAGTGCTAATGTCTTACCATATGTACGTTTTACTGCGCGTTGTAATTTATTACAACCGGCACATAGATTCAAAATTCTAATGACGATCAATTTTTCGGCTCAAAGGCGCGAAAAATCATTTTTTAACAAGAACAATTTTTCAAATAATTTTTTTTCAGAAAAAAGCTAAAAAGGTGCATTTTTTCAGTTATTTTTTATGTTGGATAAAATCCCGCACAAATCTCTAACGTTTTCATTATCACATTATCGAAGGTTCATATGTCACCTTTTTATTTTTAACAATCTTTTGCAAAAAAAATTAAATTTGAGCATGTTTCACCTAATTTAAGCAGTTTAGGCCGTTATTGCAATGACTTAATTCCGAACCTTTGATGGAACTCATGATATATTGGCACTACTTTAAACAAGGGATTATTCGCAGTTTAATCATTGGTTCGGGCAAGCTGACCAATTATCGTGGTGCCAAATCGCCACTGTTTGCCTTTGAGGACCTTTTGAATACCGTAAGTTTGTGAATTCCGGTGATTTTATCACACGTTCTCTATTTACGTGTCTTTCCTAACATTGTTTTAAGGCCGTGAGCCTGATCACTTGATGGGTTACCCGGATTAATCACTTTTCTCTGTTTTCTGTAGATATTTGTAGCTGTTTTGTCTAATAATACTGCTTTAAATACGATAATCAGCTTGGCATTTTACATGCATAATGTGTAAGTTGAAGTTTACTATAAGGTAATGGTCAGGTGGATATCTCTTATATTTTGCAAAAATGTGCTAACATTACCTTTGTTACTGTAAACTTCCTTTTAGGCACATCGATGGATAGGTTGTGAGTCAACTACTACGGTCCAAACCATCACATCCGAAAATGATTTTCCTCGATTTTCATAATCCAGCGGTAGAGGAATTGCTCCTCACCCGATTCAGCAACGCAAAAGCAGGGTAATTTTTTATCCTTAACCACGCCAACCTACACCTTTAGAATAAAATTCGAGAAGATCGATTACACTGTCGCTGATTTCGATCGCGTACTATATCGAATTCATAATCTCGAAAAGGATAAATCAAAGTTACTTGTCAGTCTCTTGGTCAACTTCTTTGATGAACTCAGGGAGTACGATGTTGAGGGAGTAAGTCCTTTCAAGCAAATTTAACCATACAAATTGGGACGACAAAATTGCGCTTCTTAATTTGTGTGACTTTTTTACGTCGGACTTAATGTTGTTTGGTTAGCTGCTCAAGCGAGAATATGGCGCCTATATGCTGGACGAACCTCAGCCAGGTTACTCGGTTTCTCTTCTCTTCGATCTTGAAAATGTGCCGCAAAACTACGAGGCCGTCGCCCGCCATGTCTCCATGATCAAACGCAACTGTTTCGCCGCCGTATTTGAGCCCTTCTTTCTCCTCCAGGCTCTGGCTGACGAGCCCATTATATCAAAGCGGGCCGTCATTCACTACAGCCCTAATGAAGCGATGTACGTCGAGTACTTTTTTGTCATTTCTTTTTAAAACAATGATACCGCATTTAATCGAACCGACCTATCCCTTGTCCGACTTCTTTCTCCTTGACGGAGGGATTGTTAAGCTTTACTTAATTTAGTGTTGTTATTCGAATGGAAACCTGTTCTTACTAAACACTATTTGCTTCGTGTCAAAATTCACTTAACGTATATGGCCAGTTTATTATGAGAACCTATCATCATTTGAGCATCATGCCTTACGATTCTGCTATTTATTCATCACATTCTCTTATTGCATTGTCAATTAGGAAGGCGAAAATGTTGCGTGAGTCACCTTCATCGTCACTTTTGGTGTTTAGGTGTTAGGTGCTAATGCTTTCAAGGTTGTGGAAAAAAGTTTCCCCACGTTAGCGTCAAGCGAGGACTTGGGCTGAACTGACGAAGCCGCTGACTTGTGTGACATTCATAATGATTGGCTACTCTGTGTCGTCAATCAAACGATCGCCAGTTCGCCGTGGCAATCAGAGCAGCGACAATTTCGGTGGTGTGGTCACACAACTGCCGTCCGGCTATAGAAAACGACATAGTGTGTGTCGGCAACAGATGGCTGTCGGTACTTACTCGTAGATTTTGCAATTTTCGGTACAACTTACAATTAGTTACCGACGTCTCAAACCAGATTTTTCTAAAAGACTTGTATTCTTGCCCCAAATCACTATTACTGTAAAACAAATAGGCCTTAGTCTGTTCTGGAATGATTCGGAGGTAGTCTGTGTGCATGCCTGTGTGTGTGTATGTGTGTACCGATTACTGCCTTTCATCCAGGAGAACTTTGTTCTTGCTGGTATTCGTGAGTGCAACTTAACGTGAAAGAAAGCACCACACAAAACCACCATCCGTCCGTATTGCGACTTTTCAGGTTTAATTTTACTCTCTCTGTGTAGAATCCACGCCAAATGCCTTCGCGTACGCTGGTTAGCGTGATCACTCACGGCGGTGTCTGAATCTGCGATGGCGACATATTGTAACCGTCTTAACCCGATTTCGTATCCAATAATTGCTGATGCGTCAATCTCCGAATAATATTTCTTTGTTCTCTGTTAATACCTAATTTTCCAAGTGCAAATGGGACAGTAACGACGAAAATCTTCGCTTAGCCCATTTGGCATCTAAATCCAAGCATGTTTGGGGTAGTTCCTGCATCGATAACCTTAAGCTTAGCGCCATGCGCTTTCTTTTTCTAGGTACGTCCAAGCCCTTGAGGATCGTATTACCGTGATCTTCAGTACCGTCTTTAAGGACGCGGATGACGTCGTTATCGGGAAGATATTTATGCAGGTACTTTTTTTCCCCGAGACAAGGCATTGGTGCTTGTCGTTTTCCTTGCTCCCAAGCCCCTCCTATTGGACGATCGCGTTTCTTCGCCAACCCATGACCCAGCCTGAGAATTGTTTTAGTACACGCAAGAAAAAGTTCCTTCCACCTGCCGCTAATGGTGAAGATTGTAGGCCTAATCTTCTGATGTGTTGTGCTGGGCAAACTTGAGGCCTGGATCCGTTGTGTGGACTTGATACATCTGAACTCCTGCTGAAATCCCTCTTTTACTAATGCTACTATCGACTACCCAGTGGCTTATGCACTCAGAAATAGTGCCTTTTAGCGTTACCAATGCTGTGTCTCAGGCTACCTGTGTACACGAAATTCCTGGCTTTTGATTGGTTGTACAGAAAAATCACTATGAACGAGTAAGCCACTGAATTTATGTAAGGTGGGCGCCCTCAAGCCGCCTCAACAGAAGTGACTTCATTGGGTACGTTTTCGCGGTGGTGTTCTACCTGCATTTTGGCAGCAGCTGTTGGCTGAATCGAACCAACACTTCTAGCCCCGTGTGTCGCGTCTGTCACGGTGATTCCAACCACGGTGTCCCTTGAACACCCTGGAGCCTTCTGCGCTCTGAAGGCGTCTGCTTTGACCGCACCGTCCACGGCGTGTCGCCTCAACTCCGATTCGGCACGCGCACGCGCCACATCGTGACTCACGCGGACTTCCTTCGTTTTGTTTTGGCTTTCGAAGTTGACTAGTAATTGGTGCATTGCGGATACATGGCCCACGAGCAACCAGGACACGTATGGGTGTGTGCATTCCAAACGGAACTGTCGGTGGAGTTTTCAGCTAGAAAGACCACTTGTCGAGCGAAGTAGCATCAGTCGCAACATCCGTATCGTCGTGGTGAACACACGAGTTCTTTAACTGTGTTCGTAGTATTTGTTTGGGGTGTCATGACTTGTTCGCTTGCCGATGCCACTCTTTACAATGACTTCTGCGGGTGAAGGTAGAGGTCTCCAAATTGTCCCGTCGAATTGACCCAGTGCTTTAGTTTTTTTCGCATTTTAACTGCAAACTTGTGTGTGTGTTTTTAGCCTGCAGCCAATGCAGTCGGTAAGCTCTCGCGTCTAACAGCCACGCAGTCTTAAAACAGACGCTTGTTTTAACCGCACCCCTAACTGCACTCTGCTGAGGCACTGAGGGACACGCGTGCGTGGAACCAGCGCTGACCTCGAATGCGACCAAGGTCTGGTGTAGTTGTTCCTCCTGTAGCTACTGTGACCAAGTCCCACCAAGTGCTAGTTCGCAGTAAAAAATGTGGTTAGCTGCCATATCTCCACGATCAACACACGTAGGGTACCTAGGTTAGGTTGGTGTGATCTTTGAAACGCTGATATCACGCAAAGTCAGCGACTAGCCAGTGAGGGGGCTCTGAGTGCAAGAGGGGGTGGGTTTTATTTGCTGGTTGCTAGTTCTTCAGCAGCCCTGCCACCAAAAGTAAGTCATCTTTTATCAGTCGGCTGTAGGAGTGTGTCTCGCTAGTCCCTCGCCTTGCCTACTTTGCTTTCAATAAGTAGTCAGAACTGTTTAACTTGTAGTCTTATTGTTGTTGGTGTTGCTTGCTACCGCAGGAATTCACCGAGGTGAGGCGTCGCTATGACCGGGCCCCGCAAGTCCTCTACTCGCACCGCGAGCCTCCAGCGGAATTGCGAGGCACAGACGCCGTCGGCGGCGACAACAGAGCCTACATAACCTTCGGTATGCACTCCCCGCTGTTTTCGTGTTGTTGTTGGAAAGAGGGATTCCCAGTTTGTCTGCGTGTGTCTGGAGGCTCTTGCCCGTCTTTTTCCTCCCTTCAGTTCTTTTCCCCCGCCACCTGGCCCCACACGCCGCCGACCGGACAATCAACCTGATCCACACGGTGCGCAACTACCTCCACTACCACATCAAGTGCGCCAAGGGGTACCTGCACATGCGGATGCGCGCCAAGACCTCGGAGTTCCTGAAGATCCTCAACCGCGCCGCCCAGCCCTCCGTGGAGGAGGAGGACCGGCCGACGGTGTGGGTGCACGCGCTGGGTCTAGAGTCGGTGCCGCAGCCGCAGCAGCCCCTCCACAAGACCCTCAGCCAGAACGGCGCTCTCCTCGTGCCTGGAAGCCTCAGCCAGGTCGAGTTCCCCTTCCTGGAGAACTGCCAGGAAAGCGATGAGGAAGAAGCCGACGCCGAAGCGGCTCGCCCCCTGAATGTAAGGCTTCATGGCGTGCGCGTTATAATTCCGCGATAGCTGCCGGATTGTGCCCAAACACCGCCAGTGTAGGCGCTGATTTAAGCTCACACGTCGGGAGGTGGTTGGTTGCTTGTCGCGATGTCTGATTGCTTCTTTGCCACGCAGCGAGTCATGCGATTTCGGTGGCTTTTTTTAGGTATCGAATTCCCACCCGCCGGCTCCGGTCTTCGAGTAGCAATTTCGTGTCGTCGCACCATGACACACACACGAATTTCCCACCTTCTGGACTGCATACCTGCCTACTTGTCGGTACTCGCTCTTCCCTCTCGCGACAACTGTACTTTTTGCCTGTTTTTTTCCCAATATAATTGCAATCATGGGTCTTTACGGTCCGTCTGAGGTATTTATCCTAGTAAAAATTGTAAATTATAGAGAAAAATGTATTTTGTAGCAATTATGGAGGGGAGGTAACTGACGGCTTTAGAGGGGGCCTAAAATTCAGCCGATTTGGTTCGTGAGCGATCGATGCGATGACGGTGTCTGTGGCTTCAGACATTAACCACGAGCGATCGATACGACAATGGTTTGTCGGTATCTGCCTGTGTGTATGTGTGAATTTGGACAATAAATTCTGGCGATTGGCAAGACAATGGCGTGTGGCTGGTCGGTTACAGCTATAGTTGAATTCGCTAGAGTTATATGCGCTGGAAGTATGAGATTTTCAGCAAAAACGAAGTCTGTTTCCCAACGGGACTCCAACTTTCCTTTACCGCCCTTTCTCCCGTCGGTTAACTTGAGCAATTCGTCTGCTGGGAAAACTAACCAATCACGATTCCTAAGTGCACTAATTTGAAGAGGTAAGCTGGAATTGTGAAAGAACCAATCTAAAAACTGCGGATATTGGTAGAGTTCACAATGACTGCACAAATTGTCTTGATTGCGTAAAACAATCAGCTCTGCTTTCTCATTGGCTAAACATGTCAGCGCTTTGTGCTTTGCTACCATTGGTTGCCTAATTTGCTTGTGGATGCGATGTAGTTGATTACCTACACTCACCCAATTACATTTCTGTCTTGAATGGCAATCACTAGCGACCTCTGCTTTATCTGGAATTACGTGGTATTAGAATTTAATTTAGCTGACTTATGAAATATCCAAATCGGTGGAAAACATTTGATAGTTCCGACATCATTGACCGCTGTGGCTGGTATTTCAGTCACCTGGTATAGTAGCTTTAGTGACTGGTGAATTGAACATCAATCGATAACTGGTATGTGAATCCACTCAAAAACCTGAAGCAACATAAAAAGTATGCTGAAGCCCCGGTAATCAGGCTTGCTGTTTTTGAATTTTTCTGGTGCTCAGGGGATGCGAGAGGATTAAAAGCGTGGACACGCGACCGGCCATCTTTAGGACACACAAGTCGGTGAAAGTGGGATTTAACCTCATGGCAAGAACTCCTATTGATATTTCAGCTTTTAACCACCTGGTGACTGGATTTTTGCGATTACTGTCGGCGTAACCGAAACCCTTAAAAGCTGAATAGAAAATCGATTTCTGATTATTATCATTGTATTTTTCTCTTATTTCAAGATTTCTCACAACCAATGTTTAAATCTTAAGGACTGATATCGAATTTTCAAAGTAATGTGGGTTGCTAATTTCTGATTGGATAATCCATTGGCACTTTAATCTGACCAATGAGCGTCATTGTTACTCTCTATGAAATTTGCATTTAAAGTAAATAATATGCCTTCACTATTTTTTCAACTTCGAGGTTGACACTATTTGGACAATTTTGATGCAAAATTTAACTGTGGTCACAAAACTTAAGTCCTGTTGGAGATTTACTCGTAGGCTGATTCTATTCCAGGATATGTGTTGGGAAAATTCAGGCGTGTCCGAATCAGCTGTCCGAATCACCTGCTACTCAGTTCATATTCTAGCAGCAAATTTTCAAACTGGCCACCGATTCGGTGTCATGGATTTTTTGTTATACTGTCCAATTTTGTGAAACCTCAGAGGTATTTAACAAAACCTCCTAAGCTAGTAATTTAGCCATTGGTCGAAGCATTTGTGGGTCATGGAAAGTAAGCATTGCATTTAATTTTGCTAATAAAGATACTACTAACACTAGAATTGAGTACTAGCGCATCACCCATTGTTTCTAAATTTACCAATATGGGAATATTTGTGCGATCCAATTCCACGAGTGGAATGGAGATGGTGATTTATTGTAGGCAGTAGTCTATTTGCTCCAGTTATGTCCCTCCAAATTAGGTGTGCCAACTTTCGAAATGCCGGCATAAATAGTATCTTTTGAGTTGAAGTTAATTGGCTGTTGCTGCACCAACCGTTCCGAGCCTTGATATGAGGCAGACAGGTACAACAGAGCCTGCTTTATTAACCAATCACAAGCCAGAACCGCACATCAGGTGTCTGCGATTCCAGTATCCCATCATGACTGCGTCACGCATTGCATATAGCTTCTCATCCGTCCGTTTCACTAGATGGCTGCAGATTTTCCTTGTGAGTCATTCAAATTCACACAGACAGGTGATTTGCTGGGCTAGGCATGATCTAACATGTCTGCTCCCTTGTTTGTCAATTCACGGGCCCAGTTTTCCATCAGAAGTGCCGATTTTATTTGATTAATTGGTGCTCTGGGGGCGTAATATTTGTTAATGACAGATCTTTTCAATGCCCATTCAGTGTTGGCGGGGACGATCCATTTAAAAACAAAGCACGCTAAATGATGTCTCAAATGGTCATCCTGTAACGGTTAGTTTAAATTCCACATCGCACCGAAGAGTATTCTTTTGCGCCGTTCCACTTTCGCTAGTCTTATCAAATTGAGACGAGGTTTAGTTTGTACTAAGCTGTGTTGCGCTCATGAATTTTATCCTTAGATCCAGATTGTGAGCTATTGTCGCGTAAATGGGTGCGTGATCGTCTAGCACAGTTGCTGGGGTTCGAAGTGTACCCTCTGGCTGCGCAGTTTCTGGAGATTTGTGGCGTGATCCACGAAAGAGGGGGCTAATTGGTAATAGATGAGCTCGTTGACCTTGACGTGACCAATCAAATTTGGCGTCGTTTGGGGCAGGCACTCCGCCTCATTCTCCGTCGTTATTGTTTTGAACTAAATTCATAAATTTGACAATTTTTCGGCTAACTTCATCATATGTGCACAAGATCACGCAAAATAAAATAACTACGTGTTTGGATACCATGGAATTTGTTTTCTAATTTAACTGGTCAGCTTTTAATATCGTGTTGCAGTGAGTTGGCATCTTGCGACCACCCATATTTATAATATTTTAAATTAATCTACATCATTTTAGGCACTTATAGCTGGAAAAGTGATTTAAGCATCTTCTGTTGCTACCCAATAATCGCCGACCAATGGCTTCTCTTCATTATATTTCCCATCAATATTTCGCTTATGCTTCTAGAAGAAACGATCACATCCTCAATTTTAACTGGCCACGACAGTATCCGGCCAATGGCTATTGGCTTCGATCGTCTCTAGTGGCAACCAAATATCTTGTGGCAGCGGGTTGCTATTTTGCAATCAACATATCCGAAATCAATTTTTCCAGCTCAAATACCATTCCCGCCACTAATATCACATAGTGTGCCGTTTAGGCAGTGGTACATCTACTAATTTACTGAATTTTATTAGCCAACAATCTTAATTTGTCGTCTCTAGCATGCGCACGTAAAGGAGATTGATGAAGCCATGCCGTGTTTTAATTTACTAAATGGCCTTGCACTTCCAGTTACCATAGTGAATCGATCAGGTTAGCCAATCGGGAAGGTATGGGCATATTTAGTCAGCTTTTTTCAATAATTCTAAAAATATTATTATTCAAAATATTATTTATGCCATGCGTTGAATAATTTTAAATAATCGTTTGCACTACTGCCTGAATGGGAACGCATCAGTCTTAATTAAAACGCGTGCTTATATTGCTGCAGCCCTGCATAATTTCACGGGCGACCAATGAAATCGATTGACGCGTTAGTGCCACAAGACACAGAACAGCAGTGTTCGCGCGGGTGACAGCCACGGTAATGTTCTGCTCTTTTAGCGGGCCAAAAGTGTTTATTTTGGCAGTACTTTGTCGAGGAATTCCTGCGAGACAGCCTAAATGCTTTTTTTTCTGACCGGATACCCGGCAAGAAGGCAGATAATTAGCTATCAACATCATTGCTTCGTGAGAATAAAGTGTAAACAATTTGATGCATTCAAAACAAGTTACCATAGCAAAACCCCACACCAAAATTAATTTCTGCTGTAATGTATCGTCCGAAGGGCAGTCAGAAGTTGGTATTTGTGGTGGATTTGCAGGTAGACTTGCCCATGGGCGTTTTTCGGTGGTATTTCTTTGTTAGATAATTAGGTACAAGCAAGGCAAGCACACTCGTTTTTTTTTCGGGAAAAATAGTCGGCCGAGAGATTTCTTTCGAGAACAGGGGTGGTACAAATTCGTTGCTAAGAGTTTTGACTTTTCCCGTAAAAATTCATTTCGCATAAATCTTTACTTGACAACTCTTAAAAATTAACGTTTAAGAATTATTGCGGGAAAAATAGTCGGCCGAGAGATTTCTTTCGAGAACAGGGGTGGTACAAATTCGTTGCTAAGAGTTTTGACTTTTCCCGTAAAAATTCATTTCGCATAAATCCTTACTTGACAACTCTTAAAATTAACATGTCTAAAAATGCAACTAAAAACAGCAACTCGTCGGAGAAATAATTTTAGATAAAAAAAACTCATTTGACTTGATTTTTCATCCTGTACCTTGCACCAGCTATTATCAAATTAATAAAAAAAAGCGGAGTTTTGTGTGGATTCGTGTTAAAATTCGTGTGTTGTAAAAAATGGATCGTTAGCATTGCGACACCCTGCGCTTACGCTTATCCCACCCAAATGCCAACAATCCTAATGAAGGTTTTACAGGATAAAAAAGGCGCCATTTTATAAATGACAGTCTCTGGATTGATACGTTTAAATTTTCAGCTAAGTAAAATTTGCGTTTCGTGCTCTGATTTTCCTTTTTCCGTTGAAATGTTGTAAAAAAATGACGGTTTTCTGAATAGTAACCACGAGAAGCGCAAGAAGTGGTGCTGCTGACACAACCTTCATTTTGTTTTTAATCGTTCCTGTAGCGGCGTCAAGAAATGCCAAAATGTGGATACTTGGGTTGGTATTGAAGGCAATAGTTTGACAACTGCTAAATCCAGTTCAATTTTTGAAAAGTAATACTGTTTACGAAACTGTTTGAAATTTCTTGATTAATCTGCAGCATGGAAAATTGTAAAATATTCAAAAATAAATCAAGAATGAACTCTAGCTCTGAAATCACTACACCTGATTGGTTAGGCGATCTATGTTATTGATTTTTTTAAGTGACTGTTTTATTTGAAGATTTTCAACCAATCAGCTGCTTTCCTCGTCTTTACCTACATTTTTAAACATTTTGGAAGGTTTCAGAAGATAGTAAACAGCATGAGGGGATGCAAGTCACGTAAACCGTTTTTAGAAAATCTCTCAGTAAACAACAAACTCAGACCCAATTATACACACTATTAGTATTAAATGATTTTTCTAATTCGTCCTATTTTTTGTCATTAAATTTATTAATTCCGTGTAAAAATTAAATGACTGAGACCAGCATTAGCGGATATGAAATCTTCTAAATCTTGACCATATTTTAAATTTTTTTCAAATTGATACGCGTAAGCAAAAAATTTTGAAATTCAATGACATTTAAATGATAGTTTGGCCATTTTAGCCTTTTGGTTAATTTTGGAGCCTGAAAACTGCAAAAGTTAAATAAGCTGCACTTTCA